ATGGTCCAACATATGGCAACTTCAAATCTCAACAAATAAATGCTCTGTCTTACATATTGGTAAAAAAAATCAGAAAATAAAATACAAACTGAATAGTCAAGATCTTGTTGACGACCCAAGCTCTGTAAAGGACCTGGGAATACTCACCTCTAATGATCTAAGTGCTAGAGCCCACTGCAACTACATAGCCAAAAAGGCATTAAGAGTTGTTAACCTAATCCTACGTTGCTTTTTCTCTGGTAATATCTCACTACTAACCAGAGCATACAAAATATTTGCTAGACCAATACTCGAATACAGTTCATCAGTCTGGAATCCTTATTACGTATGTGATATTAGCACAATTGAGAAAGTCCAGAAGTACTTCACAAGAAGAGTTCTCCACTCTTCTACTCGTTGTAGAATACCTTATGCCACCAGACTCGAAATTCTAAAACTAGAAAACCTTGAATTACGCCGTCTTCGGTCCGACTTAAGCATGGTATATAAAATCATACATTGCAATGTCCTACCTGTCAATGAATACTTCAGCTTTAACCATAACAACACAAGAGCACACAACAGATACAAACTCAAAGTAAACCGCACCAAACTTGATTGCAGGAAATACGACTTCAGCAATAGAGTGGTCAATGTCTGGAATACTCTACCCGACTCTGTAGTCTCTTCCCCAAACCCCAAAAACTTTAACCTTAGACTGTCTACTATTGACCTCACCCCTTTCCTAAGAGGTCTGTAGGGGGCGTGCATAAGCGCACCATTGTGCCTACCGTCCCTGTCCTATTGTTTCTCTTATTCTTTTATTTTTCTTATATGTACCCATTTCATATATTAACAACTATGTATACACTTGTACTTATTATCTTGTAAACAATTGACAAATCAAATAAATAAATAAATAAATAAAAATTATGTATCTGATATTAGCACAGTTGAGAAAGTCCAGAAATATTTCACAAGAAGAGTTCTCCACTCCTCTACTCGTTGCAGAATACCTTGTTCCGCCAGACTCAAAATGCTAGACCTAGAAAACCTAGAACTACGCCACCTTCAGTCCGATCTAAGTATAGTATATAAAATCATACATTGCAATGTCCTACCTGTCAATGAATACTTCAGCTTCAACCAAAACAATACAAGAGCACACAATAGATACAAACTCAAGGTTAATTGCACCAAACTTGATTGCAGGAAATACGACTTCAGCAAGAAAGTGGTCAATGTCTGGAATACTCTACTTGACTTTTGGGGAAGAAACCACAAGGTTTCTTCCCCAAACCCCAAAAACTTTAACCTTAGACTGTCTACTATTGACCTCACCCCTTTCCTAAGAGGTCTGTAGGGGACATGCATAAGTGCACCAATGTGCCTACCGTCCTGTCCTATTGTTTCTTTTATTTTTCTTATATGTACCCATTTCATGTATTCATAACTATGTATATACTTATACCTATTATCTTGTAAGCGATTGACAAATCAAATAAATAAATAAATAATCTGTGGGCTCTGTATAAATAAAAAAGCTCAATCCCTGGGTGTTAGGAAGCATCTCCGCCAAGGGTGGGCTGCTCTGGCTTCACTCGGGTTTGGGTGGACCTGTTGCTAATGTTATGGCTGGTTCAGAAAATTGTCAAATCCCACCCCTGGCTGGCATCTCTCTTTATTTTTCTTGCTGTTTTAACCAAACGTTCTGAAACACCAAACATTTTTTCTGTCACCAGTATCGACCAACTCTTTGGGGCCAAAGTCAATAATTGAACTTTTATCGATCTATCAGATATTTTAATTTTAATTTTCATATCTTTGATTAGGTCAGCATAATCCTGGCATGACTGGCATTCCTTAGCAGGAGATTCACTAATTTGCGCAATATCTTCAGCTGCTACTCCAGTGACTAACATTATTTTGTCTGCTACCACTTTCTGCATGTGTTCAATTTTTCGTTTCACATAGCCAGTTTTATCCTTACTGCTCAGCTTCTGAATTTTTAACAGAGAAGTCCCTAAATCAGTCAAACTTCGATTAACAGTGTCCAAAATGTCCATATCATAATTATCCAACAACGAAGAGTCTGCCGTGCTTTGAACCATGGAAATGTATTTGGCTTTACACTTGGAACAAATCTTTTGACACGGCTTCACATTTGTTTCTGCCACTTTTGTTAAATCATTGGACATGGCTAGATCGACTTTCAACAGCCCATGTTTAGCTACGTGACTGTGTTTGTCTAATAGGTTGCAGCATGACTTTTGCTTCATGTCGTACTTTTTCAGATACATCACTTTGGGATGCAAGCAGATTTGGTCATCATCTGTGAGCTCAACCACCGATTGCCAAATAATGATTATTTTTTCTCCAGCAGACAAATTGTCCCATGTAATGCACCCCAATTTCATTAGAATAAAATGAACCATATTGACGACAATTTTTCTCCAACAATGCATTTGGGCAAAGTAGGATTGCCAGTTAACTCATTGACATCCATTTCGTATATTATGGAAATTCGCAATAATATAAAGTGTATTACTGCAAAATCTGAAACACAGAAGTTATATAAGGTTCTAATGTTATGACAGTCATATGACAATTACCCCTGTACAGTTCAGAATCCTATAGCTGCAACAACCTAAAGTGTGGCATCACTAAAGTACTTACAGCACATTTAACCGTTATCATTAGTGTAGAAGCATCGCTAGTAAACTAACAGATTCATAAAACATGCAAGAAATGAATTACACACTTTAAACTCCAGCATAAATGAAATTACAACGGTACAATATAAAAGAACGTATGTTGACGTACATGACGTTGCCAGAGCAACATCCTCAACTTTGTCCCTATTTTTAGGGCTTTATACGTCAGCGATGAAAAACCAACCCAACTTTTTTAGGGGGTTTGAAACATGCTCTTTCTAATGAGAATGATTTGACAGAGTTTCCAGAAGGCCTTTTTTTGTAAAAGTGGGATGAAAATACCCTATTTTGGGTGTTTTTACAAAAAATGTCATCTTTACACTCAATTTGTAAACTATTGAAAAGCAGTAGGAGAATGAAATTTTATATTAGAAAATCTTGTGTTACTAAGTTATTATGCACAAAGTTTCACATGTATCATACCTTTCCTTCCAGAGATATAACAAACCAAACTTCAACCTTTTATTGAGCTGCAATATTTTTGGCCAACTTTGCTCCAAATTATGTAGAGATCATAATTTGAGATCACTCATGAGAATGTTTTTATTATTGTGTTTAATACAGCACAAAAAGTTGTACAAGATGGCCAACTTTTGTTTCTCTCAACAAACTATTGCCAGAGATATTATGTCTCAAAGTTGCTGAAACCTCAGAGTCATGCTGTAGAAGGCTGCAGTATGGGGTCAAACAAATGACTATATCTCTGCAAGTATTGCATCGGCAAATGTAACACTTTACCAATGTTAATTGGGGACATGTGTGCATGGTCATACAAAATTTCATCGAAATCTGTGATGGCTAAGCAGGGCACTTTTCTGAAATCACTTGACATGGAATGACCTAAGTATAAAATCTTCATTCTGCTGCTGGCTTGAGATGGAACAATGTCAGAGCAACAATTGATGTGCTCCTGCTGTCCTTATTACAGATTGCTGGAATAAGGCTTTTGTTTTGTTACCTTCTGTAAAATCATCTCATAACCTGAAGTCCATTATTAAAAAATCTCAGGCTGACTGAGGTCAATTATAGAATCCTACCATAGTACATATAGTTAAGTAGATAAGGAATTGACAACTGTGAAAAATGCAACTCGGAATCCCAGATAACATGGCCAGGGTTAAGAGATGCTGGAAGATGTTCAGCAATTTCCTGAAGGATTCAAGATTACTTCCTTCTGTGATAATGCTAATACACAACTGGTTTTACACAACAGATTCAAGTCTGAGATGCAACCATTTTCTTTGTGACCTTTCTTAAAGCCTACTTGATATCTTTATTCCTCAGGATGTAGATCAAGGAGTTCAGGAGGGGGGTGACAAAGTTATATATAAGAGCCAAATTTCTATCGTCATCCTCTGAAGTGCTGGACTTAGGACGCAGATACACAAGGCTGCAGACACCATACTGTAGAATCACAACTGTTAGGTGGGAGAAGCAGGTGGAGAAGGCCTGGTGCCGCGCAGAAGTGGACTTAATCTGGAGAATGGCAGCCACAATATAGACATACGAGATGCATATCAGAAGAAAGGGAATTGTTAAAACCATGATGCCAACGTTATATAGCACAGTTTGGTGAATTTGTGTGTCAGCACATGCCAGCTGTAACACAGGTGGTACATCACATAGGAAATGATTGAACTTGGGTTGGTAACCACAGAAAGGTAAGTTAAAAATTGAGGCAGTTAGCTGCAGACATAGCACTATGGTAAGACGTGAAAGATTAGACAGCATCCATTATCATATTCTTAGCTAATCTTTGCAGTTTTCTCCTTTTAAAGGTAAATTTGTTCTCATAAATGTGTAGCTACAGCAACTGATTATATCAACCATTTCAATTCTCCTTTTCTCACAGCTATAACCAATTTTAATAGGGCTCTGAATGTCATCAGTAATCACAGCTGATTACCTTGTGACTCGCTACCCATTCCAGCTAAAACAAAGGATGACGCATTAGTCACGCAGTAGCTCTTGCTCTGTGCACATCCCCTTGCAGTCTTATCTTAGCTTCTGTGGTCATTTTGTGTATTTTTGCATCTTTTTTCATCAGTACAGATAAAGTGAAGTTTTTATTTAATATAAGTATGTATTAATTTTTAGGTTTGTTTCTCATGTAATCTATCTTTTTACATATTGCCTTAAACATGTACATTGTCTTTGGTTTGGGAACTCATTAAATGTATTTATATTATTCCTAATGGGAACAATTTGTTTGGTACTTGTCATTTTTGGTACTCATCATGCCTCCTGGAACCAATTAATGACAAGTACTGAGGTACCACTGTAATAATGTTACAGACGAATTAAGACTCAGATCTGAGATGTAACCATTTTCTTCATGACCTTTCTTAAAGCCTGCTTGATATCTTTGTTCCTCAGGGTATAGACCAAGGGGTTCAGGAGGGGAGTGACAAAGGTATATATAAGAGCCAAATTTCTATCGTCATCCTCTGAAGTGCTGGACTTGGGATGCAGATACACCAGGCTGCAGACACCATACTGTAGGAATACAACTGTCAGGTGGGAGGAGCAGGTAGATAAGGCTTTGTGCCTCCCAGATGAGGACTTAATTCGAAGAATGGCAGCCACAATATAGATGTAGGAGATGCATATTAGAACAAATGGAACTGTTAAAACAATGGTGACAACACCAAATAGCGCAGTTTGGTGGAGATGGGTGTCGGCACACATCACAACCTGTAGAACAGGTGGTACATCACAAAATAAATGATTGATCTTGGGTTTGTTACCACAGAAAGGCAAGCTGAAAACCAAGGTGGTTAGCTGCAGACACAGCATTATGGAAAGGATCAGGGAGCCAATCACCAGCCATATGCAAACCTACTAAGTCTTGATGAGGGTGTAGCGAAGTGGGTGGCAGATGGCTACGTAGCAATCATACGCCCTGACAGACAACATAAAGCAGTCAGTGCTCCCTAGAGTTGTAAAAAAGAACATCAGGATGGCACAGTTCACCAGTGGGATTGTTCTGTGGAAATCAGAAATGCTAGCAAGCATTTGAGGCACTATTACAGTGATATAACAGATCTCCAAAAAAGAGAGGCTAGCCAGGAAGAAATACATGGGGGTGTGCAAGGAATTGACAATGTAGACAATTGAAAGGATGGAAATATTCCCAGAAAGGATTATGAGGTACATCAAAAGAACGCAAGTGAAAATAAGATGTCGTATCTCAGGAACAGTGGAGAATGTCTGGAAGAGGAACTCATGGGCCATGGACTGATTATCCCAGAGTGATCCTGCCAGATACATTTCATCTATCGCCGTAAAAAAAAGGCAAGAAGAAAAACCAATTAAACAGTAATGTCTATTCTCATACATTTCAAAGTAAAATCCCGTAGACTGTATGATATTGAGGTCTGCCATTCATGAAATCTCAGTGATTAATCCTACACTTTTTATTCCCCTTCATCTCCTAATTTAGACTGTGCCCAAGCAAATCCCAACACTTCCAGGATTGTTAGATGCATTACAATATCAATTATCCCAAACTGACCAAATAGATATAAAAGCTGATATTTACAGAATTTGTATTTTCAATAGATACAAACAAGTATACAAACAATAGAAAACAAGTTCTCACTATTATCATGAATGGCAACCTTGGAATGCAAAGGAGCCTCTTAAAAGGCAATAATCCCACAGATGAGCGAGACCAGACTTTGATTTAAGTCCAGTTGTGTGAGTTCCCCATCTTTCAAGAGAGCATGGACACAGGGGTATATTTTCAGCCGCTTTGGTGTAAGAAGGTTTAAGACCCAAGAAAACAAAGGGTCGCAGAGTTGAAGGGAATGCTGAAAATAACAGAACTTTGTCTGAGATGAGTGAAGCAGCTGGTATTTCTGTGCCGAATATTATTTCATTTTGCAGCACTTTATAGTTTCGATGATGAGCTACGGTGGTGTAGTGGTTAGAATGCAATACTGCCGGCTACTTGTGCTGATGGCCGGCTGTCTGCAATTTGACAGTTCAAATCTCACCAGGCTCAACTCAGCCTTCCATCCTTCCGAGGTGGGTAAAATGAAGACCCAGATTGCTGGGGGCAAAAGGTTGATTCTGTAAAACTGATTAGAGAGCACTGTGAAGTGGTATATAGGTCTAAGTGCTATTGTTATTCAGCTCTAGTCAGACCTCTTGGTTCTACTGGTAGTTTTAATATAATATTGTTTGTCTTGCCAAGGAAGGTCCTTTGTCACTTCCAGAATTGGCTCATTGTGGTGTTGCCTACTTTGAGCCTGTGACAAGGAAACAAGGTGAGGAAGATGAGAGAGCAGCTACTGGCTTTCCTTCCTAAGCTGTCCAGGCTGCAGTACTGATCACTGTTACTATCACTGATGCCATAGTAAAAACCTGCAGGGGGTTGGCCAAAAAATAATAATAGATAAATAGAGCAGGGGTACATAAGATGAGGCAAGGGAAAACTTATTTCCACTTAGAAAACTTTAAAATAAGAACAAATATGGGTAAAGTGTATGATGGGTAAATTGTCTTTGTCATTAAATCGACAAATTTCCCTAAATCACAATCTGTTTTACCTATTATTTGTTGAATCAGCCTTAAGGGCTACCTTCATATTTAGCAGTGGTCATATAGCACAAAAATAGTCTTTTTTAAATGGAGCTCAAATCCATCAATTTTTATTTATATAAAAATAGTATTGCTTCTAAATAGATATAACCTGTAGATTTCCAATATGAATGGCTAGGACACTGTATTCTCGTAAACCTATAGCTAAACTGATTATACAATCCATTCCCCTTCTGCCTTTCTCACCGTTGCAATAGATTTTAGCAGTGTTCAGAATGTCTTCAATACACACAACTATGGTCTTGAACTGGTACATATTCATTGTCATTATCTGAATGTAACCCAAGACCATTACTTTGAAAAATGTTCTGAATGTAAGCAGAATCAATCCTGTTTTTGGGAATAAAAACCTTTAATCAACAGCCATCTCTTAAAATCTTCCTATTTTTGCTCACTGCCTACTGCAGGCTCAGTGCTGGAGAAGGAATAAATAGGAATTGAATTGAGTTAAAAGTAAAACCCATGCATCTCAAGGTTGACTCAGCCTTCCATTCTTCCGAGGTGGGTAAAATGAGGACTCAGATTGTTGGGGTCTGACTGTAAACCGCTTAGAGAGGGCTGTAAAGCATTGTGAAGTGGTTTATAAGTCTAAGTGCTATTGCTATTGCTGAGTGCTATCTCTTCATGGAGCTGGAAAATTTCTGGCTGAGATCCTAGGTAGTCCTAGACATTCAGAGTCCACTTAACTCTCCCAGAAACAAATGATCTAGTGAAACTAAATAATGTCCTCTTCTTACGTTGTAAGATGCTTCTGATCCAGGACTACGAAAACAAAAGGAAATTCTCTTTTTCTTGACAATCTTTTCTGGCTCAAAAGATGAAAGGTGAATGAATTTTAATCAAATGTCTATGAACAGATTGGAAAGTGATTTCTGGCACAGCTTTCTAGGTGAGTTATCTGTGAGTCCTTTTCTAGGATGAGTCCAGGTTATTTGCTAGATTGAGTATAGTTGTCAGGTTCTTCTCAATTCACTGAATCAGAAATGGAAGGCAAGCAGAGGTAGCCACCTATTCACAGCCACTATCTTTTCTCCAGCCAATCGGGGTAGTCTTTGCCTTGTTTCAAGATATTATCCCCAGTAGACATGCCAAGTAGTTGTTATTTTGAAAAAGCATTCTCCTGTGGAATCCCAGTGTAGCAAAAATTTTAAAGAAAGCAATAAAAACTCCAGAGGCCAAAAGCTTGCAAGAAATTCATTTCAGTATTCTGTGAAGAAAGTTTTGGATCAACTGTGATCAAGGTGCAGAAGAACTATAAGATGCAGTTAATGTAGCTCATTCACACCATTTCTTTGTTGTACATCCTGTTCTCAATATTTTGAGAGCAATAATTTTGGAAGTTGAAAGCCTATTCTATCTGCCCTTTTTCTGTCTCGAAGAGTCAATTGCCAGGGTCAATATAACTAGTTCAAAAGTCTTGAATACTCAATCTAGAAGATAGTGCAACATGTTGAGAATTAGCTTTGCAAAGCATAATAAAGAAGAAACTGTCAACTTACAATTTGGAACATGTAAGTTGCTTCCGCCCATCATAGCAATGGGAGATTGAGGCTCCACTATGAGAATATGCCCATGGCAAACAGGAAATGGAACATCTTTATATCATATTAAGCAAGCTGGATGAATTGACTTGGATTTTATTTAATGTATAATTTATATGAAACAAATACAAATTGTGTGTATTTAATATTTCAACAATTTCTTGAATAATGCCATTATGCACTTTGTGACTGCTCTGTTTTCGTTAGGATATGCAGTGATTGATTCTGCTTTTATATTTAATTTTTACATTTGTTCTCTTGTTTAACACTGAATTATTGCATCTTTATCTTTCATTCCTACTTTTATTTTTTAGATAAATTTGCCCTGTTAAAGCCAAACCTAATAGTAACATAATGTCAGCCTTCAAGATTTTCTTCCTTTGCTTTGCATCTTTTGGCTGTCATAAGTAACGGGGGGAGGAGGGGAGACCTGGTTATGGGAAGCGAGCTGGAGGTGTTACAAAACAGAACTGTATAAGTTGGGGAGGAAGGTTCTTGCTTAGGCTTCTATTCTATGCTATGCACAGCCGCAACTCTTTATTAAAATATGTCAGGGTCAACGGACAAAGGCCTCATCACTACCTGGAGATGCCCACATGATGCTATAAACAACTTTTAATTGGATGAACCAATTGAACTATTGGGGGTGGGAAAGTTGCCATCACTTTGTATATGTGATTTATGCACTCATTTTCTCAGATTCAAAATTCTTTTGTTGCTACCACTCGACTTCCAGTAAAAGATATCTTTTCTCTAATTAATGGAATCTAAGTATTTCTTTCTTGGATTTTGAATGGAGCACCATCTGACACATAGTCTTATTTTTATGCTAATCAGCATCAATCAGATTTGCATGCAAAATACTGTAGTTTTAAAAATCAAACACACAAAATTTCATGACCAACGACAAAATAAAATTTATTCTTCTTTATGTATGATTTAATTGTTTACAAGCAAGATATTGAAAACAAAGATATTCTTCATCATAGTGTGTATAAAAACTTAAGAAGATTAAGGGAAGATAAATATTCAAATAATCTGGCAAGGGACTTCAAAACATTTATATAAAAGATACCTTAATGGAACATTGCTGCCAGAGCCATTCAGAATTAGCAGCATTGGATGGGCAAGATGTAAATGGTGTAGCACAAGGAGAAGTACACTGATTCCATATCATTTACTCCACAGACTATACGTGCATCGGCAGTGCAATTTTGCACAAGTCTAGCATTAAAAAGGCACTGATTTCTAGATGCATTGGCACATCTTCCCCTTGTCATCTAAATAAAATTTTAAATGAGATTAACCTACTCAAAACAGTTTTATCCACCCTGACCAGGAAATAAGCCTAAGTAGCTTTTGAAAAAAATTCTGTAATTTGCAGCATATCTACTTCAAGACATCATGGATCTCTGCTATTAGTTATAAAGATTATAGAAATAATGAAAGATATTTCTGCAGATGAATATGTGCTAGTTCAAAAACCAACTTGTTTTATCAGCTGAAAAAAAGCTCAACAAACATTTATATATACTCTTAATACCGGTATTTCTAAAAAAAAAAAAATCAGATCTCCAGATAATGAATTCTAGTAAAGTTATTTAAATTCAACACAAAAGCTACATACCTAGCAGTTGGTTAATTTGAAAACACTAAAGTATTAGAGTGTGTTACAATGTGGGGCAAATTACCATATTTGTTATGATATTTAATTTTGCCTAATTTTGTGGGTTTTTTTTTTACTCAAGAGAAAATCTCTGGAAGCTCTATGCCCCAAGAAAGTGTCCTAGGATTGCAGTCTTACTTTTTGTTTTGCAATAACATTCTTGGGAAGAGTAATGTTTCCGATGCTTTTAAGTTAAACGAAGAGCTTTTTAAAGCAAGAGTTACAGTAGGTTTTTCCATTCTGCTCCTGAAAAATACCATTGTGCAACTGAGTAAGGCAAAAGGCACAAACAAAATGCTCTGGGTGAAACTTGTGCCCCATGGCACTGACGCACCGTCCAACAATAGGTTTTCCACAACCATGGCACACTGTTCCCTGATGTTGATGGAAGTGAAGCTCACAGTATGGCTGACCATTCAGTT